CTTCCCTGAGTATTGGAGATCCAGCACTTATCCATTCACACAGACAGTCCTGCGTAATGCGAGCGGCGTGAATATTAACTGCTAATATGCTCTCTCCTCCGGCCCTCCCCGTCTCTCCTGACTGGAGGCGGGTATTATCATCGTAATCAAGGCGAGACCCGGCTAACACGATCATTCTCTAAACCATCATGTAGAAATAATCCCCTCCTTCACATTTGATTATTCTAATAAATCTCTTTTAAACAGCCTTTCTGTCACATGGCAATAGGGAACATCTCCTCAATCCATCACACAAAGGTCGGACAAATGCAGGGCCATTGTGAGGATTAGCAAAAAGAGAACTTATTTTTTATAGCATGGTCTTTTCTCAGCTATTGCCTGGTTCAAAATGTCCTTTTCACGTTTACTTTCTTAGCCAGAGAGCAAACAGAGAGCTCTCCCTCAATGTCTAAGGGCATGATTGCTCCGTCTGTCCTCCATTACTGCTCTCACATCCCCCACCGGGCCGGATACTTCCAGACAAGGTGTTCCTTCATCTTACCCAAACCTGTGCGCACATACAAACAAGAGAGTCGGGAAATTTCAAGGGGCCAATTTGACAAGGCGCTCCCACCTCCTCACAACACGGTGCACAATGGTTTGTATGCACGGCGCATCTCGGCACATCTCTCGCTGGCTTTTTCACTCGCCCCAGTCCTCCCTGACTAAAAATGCAGCTGAAGTTTTGATGATCCAGAAATGTTGAAGGAAGAGGAAAATAAAGAAGTTTTGGAAATAGATGCTTTTTTATTCAAATTTACAAAAAAGAAAAGCAGAACAGAAATAAATACAGTGCACGCAATTGTGGAGTTGAATTGACACTGTGCCGAAGCAATGAGATCTAAAGGGGGAGCACAACCAATGGGAATGACTCGTTAGACTGGGGTTCAGTAGTCCATGTAAGAAAGTCAAAAAACATAATGAAAATATCCAAATATAGATCCTGTAGTAAAATATTAACTCAAGAGAAGTGGTTTTCTTATAGCTGGGGTATGACATTTTCAAACAACAAAAAATTGATAAATGTGCACTTGAATTTGTCCTCTGAATTTGACCCATCCTGATGCCACTAAGGCTTACATCAGTGGTCGCCATGGTACAGCGCCCGGGGACCCATCTCCAAATGTTGGTACTCGGCTTGGTCAGGACTACTTGAGCTGGAGGATTTTATCTATTGTGCATGTTTTTAGTTGTAGGGGAAACCGGAGCACCTGGAGGAAACCTACGCAGAACATGCAAACTCCACTCAGAATGACAGTTCCGACCGGGATTCGATCTTCGATCTTCTAATAATAACAATAATAGCAATAATATTAATAATACAATCCATATAACTATTTCCTCGCTATAACTATATATTTTTGGCGTCTGTCGCATGTTTCAGATCAGCTGAAGATCCGACAAAAAAGTTAAAAACTAGTTCACGCTGATTCAGCCCAAAGCGACTCACAGGGCTCTTTCTACGCAGGTAACACGTTCTCTGATAAAATAGACAGACTTCATGTTGTGGTCTGATTTGTTCACAACATTTTACCATTTCAAGATTTTCCATATTTGGACAAACATGTTTTATTCATTCATTCATTTTAAGTTGGGTACCGCCTCCAGCTTTCATTCAAACTTGAGGACAGGAGAAAATAAAAGAAGGCCATACACACAAAAACACAGACCTTCCCCATGGCATGTTGAAGCAAATAAAGGTAACATCAATAAATGATTCTATAATTGAAAATAAAAACAGTGTTAATATTTTGAGAGTAAGAAATAATGTAGTTTTAATGAAAGTATATGAGGATGGTTTTAGATGCATGCACTATGGCCAAGGCAGGAGGGGGGAGATGACTTTTCTCCCTAAAACAGTAAAGAATGTGTGGTCTGGGGAATGCAGACGTGATCCTATTTAAAACAACTTATACGGCTAATCATCCATTTGATTGGTCCAATTTTGTGGGCTCAGAACGAAGACAATCAGAGTGGTGCGCTTCAGTCTGTGAACTCCTTCAGACGAGTGAAATAAGAGAAATCAGTCAATTCTCAGCTGGATTTGAACTAATCAGCCGACAGAGCGCATAAGAAACTACAGCCAGATGATTATCCAGAGCCCATCAAGGCCGGATTAACTACAAAGAGTCATTTATAGGCTTTGCTAATTGTTATTTTAGTTTACTGGCTCCGTAAAGTGCTTATTCAGAGAGAAGAAATCAAAAAGTTGGCACATTTTATTTTTTACGCTACATTGGCAACTTGTTGTACATATTAAAGATGTATTCCAAGCTGTTACCTTTGGTCAAATCGTTTCTTTTCATTACCGACCAATGCTTTGTGTCACCCCTGTACAGTACATTATTTTGGCACATTAATCAATGGCAATGGAACACAATGAACAACGACAATAGATGAATAAATACAGACGTAAATTAACAAATAGGCATACATAATGTTCATGGTAAAAAGGATGAATAAATAGCGTGTATGTGAGAACTGTATAGATTTTGACGCTTAATGTTAATGTCGGGACCGTTTCAAAAGTTAGCATCAGTCATTTCCACTGAGTTGTGCACCCGGGTCCGTGTGCAGCAATACACTTTTCTATTACGGTTTGAACTATTGGTCCTATTCTTATCCAGGTGCTGTGGAGCAGGTCGAAGGCTCAGGAAACAGTGCATTGTGGGTCAGCAGCCTGGCGTCCCACCTCCAGTGTTTACATCATCAAACCGTGACAACAAGACTATGCACCAAACAGGCGTGTGATGGACTATGATGTCACTTATATTGCACTTTGACATATATATTTAATTATCTATATCATTTATGACTTTGCTATGATTTTATTTAAATATGCCCTTTTATTTCACTGAAACATCTCTCCAAAACAAAGCTATTTCTCAGGATTGTACAGGTGCACCTCATTAAACCATCAATATCATAAATGTATTTATTGTAGTCTTGTTAAAGGAGACACAGCAAACTATACACTAAACAATAATTAATATAACATTATCACATTATTCTCACTCATTTATTGATGTGCACCTGTATATCGACACACAGCAGGCATCTTACAGTATATCCTTATTCTGTGCACACTACTGTCCGGTGGGAGCTGCTCTCCACCGGCACCACTGCGTCTGCTCAGCCTGGTTCCTTGCTGGGACCGGTTCGCTCAGAGGCATCCTGTAACTAATATTGTGCAGAGGAAACTTTGGCCAGAGGCGTCATGTATAATTGAAACCTTTAGCTGTCCAACCAAAAACGGGAACAAGCCACAAACACATGTTGACCGTAAACAGCTCCAGGAGTCTGGTTCTTTATCAATTACTAATCTACAGTATACGTACAGTACACATCGTCTCCACAGTGCCGCTGTGTTTGTTTGGACATATTTTACACCATGTACGGGACTGTGCAAAAGTAATTCAGGGCTTTAAACATAACTTTTTTCCTCATCATGTAGAAAAAAATTAATGGACATAAAATAATATCAGGATAAATATAAGTCTGTAAAACCTCTGCCGTGGCACTGGTCAATGCACTGCCTGCAACTGTACACACGCCAGAGGATTCTTTCAATCAGCAGGAAAAGGGATCTGCTTTCACACTCATTTAAAGGAGAAGTTCTTGGCTATTTGCGGTCCTTCACTCTCGTCCTTTTACACGCCATGTTTCTGTCCCCATTTAAAGCAACCTTTGCACAGACCCACATGCTTGTGACGAATATGACGATATTTACATTGTTTTGTTTCTACATACAGTCAGTATGTTAACTCTTTTTGTTTCATTGACATCTTATAAAACAACTAGGCTTCATTGTCTAATATCGAATATCACACAGTAGAAAAAAAATGCGCTTTGCAGCTCAAAACTCTTTCTGACCGTTACCGTTTGTATGTATTCACATTTTTGGCCAGAATTGATTGCCGTAGCATCTTTTGTTTTACTGGTTTGAATTGCATGCCGGACATCTGCAGGAGAGTAGAACGATGTATAAAAAAATAGTAGGGACATCCTTAATAAAAAAACGTTATAGTCCCATAAAAGCACGGTCTTCTCCATAACATAAACAGAATATACAGTAGGTATTTTATCATTGTACAATCAGAGCCAGATGCTTTTGTGTCTTTGTGAACACAGGACAAACCCAAATAACGGCGAGGGAGGTGTGGATCATTCCCATAGCTTATTAAATTTCTCATAATGTTTCTTTTTTATCCTTGTGGGCTAAAAGGACGGGAGAATCTTTTTCAAAGTTTAAATGATTCATTATATTCATTTGTAATGAAGTAGTGAGAGAGCTGAATAATTCACTTTCCGTCCAGCGCTGCAGACGGAATAAGAAGAAACAGTTTTTGTACAATCATCTCACATCCTTCACTACAGTCTACGCCGTTCCTGTCATCTCCTGCTTGTGTTAAATGTTTACACTTAAGTTTTTCTCTCTGAACTAATGTTCCATCTCAGATATGATCACTCTTTAGAAAGTGGCTGCGTCGCTTCTTGTTTCACAGTATAATAGATGCGTGTTTGCCTCGTAAACATCCATACAGACGCTGAAACATTGCGTCTCTCTTGCTGTCTGCTGCCGTTTCTCAGGGCCGTACGTGAGAGTTGAATTAAAATCCAGTCTGGTGATGTTTGGGTTGTTTTTCTTTGTCCGAAACGTTTAACAAATTGTCAGTGCCCCGAGCAGAAGCAGCCTGTGCATTGTCTCAGTATCTGTGCTCAACCATATCAGCGTTTCAACACTTATTGCTTTAAATTACATCAATCACTCCCTCCCCTGCCCTCACACTCTGCGTCCTCCCCGGGCTCATTTTTCTCTGTCTCTTTTTATTACTTTGCCTCTTCATCTTTCTCTCCTCTAACTTCTGCTCACATAATTCTACCACGGCCTGCCTTTTCATCATCTCCTATTCCCTCCTTTTCCCACTATACCCCTTTGCCCCCCATTTGTTTTATATGTATCAGTCTTTCCCCTCGCCATTCCCCTCATTCTTCTCACAATCCTCTTTTGCATTTTCCAAACATTTCTCTTCCTTCTCTTTCTCTTTTTCTTTAAAAAGCTGGGAGAGTTTCTCAAACTGTGGACCCCACTCCTCCATACCAGCCCCCCAATCGTCTTTGTCGCCATCTTTGTCCCCGTCGCTTTCCAGTGAGCTCAGCGACCCAGCCCGCGACCCGCTGCCCTCCAAGCCGTACACCTGCACCGAGTCGTACGGCGGCTGCGAGGGGTCGAAAGTGACTTGGGCGAGGCGGAGGCGAAGGAATTCTCCGACTCGCAGGGCCAAAGATGGGCCACCGGGAGCCCCGCGAACTGCTTCTACACCGGGGGGAGCCCAGGCTGCGTTGAGTACTCCAGGATACCCCCCTCGAGGCAAAGGTAGAAGTTGAGGGCTCATATCTCTGCGTCCGACCACGTAACCCCCGATCCCAACACAGTCGCGCCAGTCTCCGATAAAACCTTCGGGAAATCCAGTAGGCGTCCCGCTGAGAGAAATACTGCCATTTCTTTCGCCTCGACCAATGACAAAGTTGCTTCCCATCTCCAGCCCGCCCCTCCCCCGTGTCCCAGGGTAGTCTCTCTGTCCGTCCAGACCCAACGTCCCGCCACCCGTGTCCGTCTCGCCGTGGATGGATCCCGAGCGCTTTGGCGACGTCCCGGATCGTGAGGCCCTCCTTCCCGCCAGTGGGAGCGTGGCCGAATCGCAGACCCAGCCCCCTGCGGCGCCGTGGCCCCCGTGTCCCATCATGGAACCGGAGCGCGTCATCACCAGGTTGTGCTCTCGCTGCGCGCTCTCCAACTGCGCCTGTGGGTAGGGGAGGTGAGTGGATTCCGATAGGACTTGGGGGTAGATCTATGGGTGTTAAGTTTGGGGGTAAAATGTGAACAACACATTTAAAGAATCATTTTTAGGATTTTCGGGAGATGTTTTGGTAAATGACACAAACAAGGGATGTGGAGAGAGGCAAATGGGAGATGTTAATTCAAGACTAGAATGAGCTAACACTGCACTGTGATGACGCAATGGACTGGACGTGAAAAAAAGATGAAACATTTCAAATTTTAAAAGGCCTAGATCAACCATTCCTGTCTTTCCCCATTGAAAAAAAACAATCTCAGTAAATGCTTTCTTAAGGCCCATATCATTATTAAACACACACTAATATTAGTCGGCCTACAATTTCAAAATCTCTGGCTTTCACTGCTCAGTCAAAACATTTTCACATTACTGTTGATTATACATGCCAGGTACAGTACTCTATATAAGTGCATAATGTCACCATTAATGAACTTGCACATAATTTGACAACATACAGTATCATATAGCATGATTGAGCAGGAAAAACTTCTTTAAAAACTTGTCAATGTATAAATGCCTATTGTTATAAAATATATACATATTTTTTGCTAGTACAATTTGATACCAAGAAAAACCATAGCTGGTTCGCCTCAAGGAAGCATCAAAACATAGACAATTATAAATGTTTTTAAATACATATAACATGGTGACACTACTAAGTCGAGCTACTTTAGTGCAAGTTATTACTGTGTGTCCCTGGGCTGAGACAGCAGCTCGCAGAAGCTGAGGACATAAAACTATATAGTATGTGTAATTGCAGCTAAAATGCTTTTGCGAGAGTCCAGGGCATTTGCTGTCAGCCTTTTAATCGGTTAGGCTTTATGACAGTGGAATCAGAGTATAATCCAGCTTTTGGCACAAAGGTGTCAGGTGTATGTAGCAGCTCTCTAATAATCGTTATGTTCTGTCACACCAGGATCTAGAGTCTTACCCAGTCCATGTCTTGGCCATTGAGCTTGTCCTCGCTCCCCTCGGTGCAGTTGCTGGCGGTGCCCCCTCCTCGATCATGACTGTCAGACGTTCTGGGCGTTCCTCCATCCGACGTGCTCACTCTGCTCTGAGGCGCCGTCCCGTCTCTGCTGCCGGTGCGACTCCCATTGCTCAACTCCGTGGAGGGGATGTAGACCGCGCCGGACCCCGTCGGCCCCACCATGGCTGCCTGATTCTGGATGACCAGGGAGTGATCTGGCTGGCCCCCAGGGTAACGATAGCCAAGCTCAGCCAGGCCAGGCTCAAAGGCCCCTCCAGGAGCCCCTCCAGGAGCCCGTCGCAGAACCGGCAGAGTGGCACTGCTGTAACAGAGGCGGCCGTAGAGAGGACCCCCAGGACCACTGTAAGGCTGCTCCAAGCCCTGGTTCTGAGCCCAACTGTATGTGCGGCCCTTTTCCACTGCACGTTGGGCGTAACGGCTGGAATAAACAAATCTGTATTACACTGTGCACTGGAGTAGATAAAAATACATCAACAACACGTTTCTACTTGTTTTTTCAGAGGTGTGCGTCACTCAACCACTGTTTTGTTTTTTTTTTTTTTTTTTTAAATTCTTTATTTGAATTGGGACAGTGCACATTAATCAACATGTGTTTTTTCAACATGTAAATGCGCCGGAGTTAGCCATATAGGCTAATTTTCATCCGTAGTCCCATGGCAGGTTGATGTCAAGATAGGTAGTATTTAAACTTAAACTACCGGATGAATTTTCAACAAACAAACCTTGTTTGGATTACACCCATGTTATACTTATTAAACATTGCGCGGAATGCATTAGAACACACATGTTGTTGTCAGCGTTAATCATCCAATAGTGGAGAAAGAGCACACAATGTAGATTGCTGTAAATGTTTCTTTATCTCTATCCTGAAAATCTTTCTAGCTTGATTGTAAATCTGATGCACTCAGGGAACACATCTATTTTTATACATAAGTCATCTTTAAAAACATATAAGGCCTATGCTCGACAGAAAACTTTGTATTTCTCAAACAGCTCGCACAAGTCAAATCCAAAATAGTCCAAATGTTTTATAGTTGAACAAAAACGCAGATTAACCTATTTTTGTGCTTAGAGTTCCTTCATAGTAAGGATACATGTTCCAAAGATCCATAGCAACTTTCTTATTAATGGAACAGCATTCTTGCTTAAAATATGTTTAAACTATTGATATTCATTGAAGTTCAACTAGTTTATTTTGCATATGAGGATTCCTGTCACTAATCTGATGCATGTGAACAGTTTTTTGTTTTTAATTAAGCGCTTGTCCTTTTGCCATTTGTTATGATGCTTTTGTACATTATAAATATAATCCCTGTTCTTCATTGATGAAACTTTTCCTCAGAGAAAAATGAATCCTTTTGGACAAACACTACTCACACATTCCTGCTGTCCAGAGTGCGATAACCTCTGGTGCGTGAGCTGTGGGGGGCGCTCTGGAGCGCAGCTATGTCAAAGGCTGCGGTGTCGGCTTCGCCTCCGCCCTCGTCGTCATAGGTGATAATGTTCTCCCTCACATCGTCCTCCTCCAGTGGAGACAGCGAGTCACGCTTCTGACGCCGCAGCGATAATGACAGGGCACTCACGGCTGGGGACGGGCGACAGAAAAAACACGACAGTCAGCCATGGAAGAGGAATTGGAAAAAGAATGATGAACAAGGGAGAAGGGGCACAAGTCGCAGGGGAAATAAGAGGAAGGAAGGCTTTGGAAGAGTGAGAAGGCAAGAGAGCAAGGGAGCTCGTTCAGGGAAGGAGGTGAGACAAAACGAATACTGACGAGGCCTCGGGTTAGAGCGTGTGTATCATATCAGCGGCTTGCATGTGGCCGATTGTTAATTGACTCTGAGCTGCAGCCAGGCAAATGGACCTTTTATTCTCGTAGGACTCTGCCTGCTGATCTCCAGAGCACAGCAGGTTTGACCCAGGGCAAGGGAGACTGGCCGAGCTCTTTGGAAAACAGCCTTTGATTTAATACATCTGAAAAGTGGATCATATTCTCACATATCAGGATGTAAGGGAATTTACTCACAGGTGTCACTGATGCATTCCAACCACTCTTATGAGAACTGTGACTTTAGTATTGCCCCAAAACATAGACAGGTGTAGTAAACTGTTCATTAGCAGTTTTGGACAATGTGCAAAGATGTAGTGTGGGTAATTTTGAGGATTTTGGTTTCAAATCCTCAAAGTTGTTTTTTTTAAGGATACATTGACAAAATACATTGAAAGTCATCAATTTTGGAAAATTTAAGAATATAAAATTGAAGACATTTACATTTTTAATATTGATGTCAGTGTAAATAACAAATCAAAGTAAAGTTTTCAAATAAAGTGAACAAGTTTTGATTGTCCAAAGACACAGCTTTAAAGCGGTGCTCATTTCCAGATGCAGAAATAACGTCCTTGTCACTTGAGAACTCATTTTCCAACTCCAGCAGAAGTCACTCGGTGTGATCACCTTCACGCCGTGTTGCGCTTCTTCCCTGATTGAACTAGTCTCCTCTGGAATGATAATGCCCTATCACCGAGGCATGAGTAGTGATCCACCAAACTGAATGGAAATGACAATGATGCTGGCGACAAGCCAGAGCCTTCTCAGCACCTGCACATTATCCAATTGAGCTTTGAGGATTTCTGCGCAGGTAGCACTGACATTTCATTATGCCCTATCCTAAATCGTGGAGCCCAACACTGAGGCAGAATTGTTATTTTAGCGGTGATTAGCACTGACCTTGGCAGAGGAGAGAACTGGGCCACAAAATGAAAAAGGCCGCTACCACAGAGCTGTGACTAAGGGCAATATTTACGCTGCTTCTTCCTTTATTTCCATATGCATATGAAGCATCGAGGGAAGCAGCCAAGTGTAAACAGCCCTAAACACTATATTTGCACATCTTTTTATTTGCAGATTAGCATTAAACTGCGACATCTCAGTGGTTTAACTACAGTACACATCCTAATCTAGGTAGTAGATGCTAATGGTAAATATGAATACGGCACTATCCAGTGAATACAAGCAGAAAATGTGAAACTTTGATTATTTTCAGAGAGATTATTTTAAAGATGTGTGTAAACAACTTGAGCTGCTTTAAGGTCTGAACAATCTAAACTCTGCAGTGCCAGTATGTACAATGAGAACAACTGCATCATTTTACTGCTTCTATTGTACCTGGTAATATTTTCTATTCCTCTGACCCTTGTCAAGAGACCCACCAGCAATTATGAGACAGCCAAAAGTGTGTACAGCAACATCTGCGGAGGGTTTACAAACATTTGACCCAAATAATCCCTGACAATATGTCCCGCAGACAGGAGCAGCTACATGGGACAAACGTGTTTACACATGATTTAATCCTGCAACAAAACTTGCGTATTTTGTGAGTGTTTACCCAGTAGTGTTGCCACACAGGCCAGGATAGCAAGCAGGGCGGCAGTGCTGAGTCCAGGTGAAGGCAGAGAGGACTGTTGAGGCAGACAGACAGCCTCTCTGTCCCAGTCTCCCTCGGTCTGCTTGTCCTTGTCCCCAGCTCTTGCCCCTCCCTTCAGGCAGGGACACACAGACACTGTGACCGTGCCGGTGCTGGTGAGGCCTGAGGTCCCGTCTCGCAGGACTAAAGGCACATACATCGTCAAAGTGGAGGACGCTGAGCGAGACAGAGGCACCAACTGGGAAACCAGCACCAGGCTCGCTGTAGGGCCTGTACAGGATGACATAGGAGAGTCAGTGCAATTTTAAACAGAAAACATCACTGCCTAAGAGAGCATGTTTCAATTGATTTGGCAGAGGGTCCACTTTCTAATTGGGACCATCAAACTATAATCTTTTTACAAATATCCCAAAGTTTGGTAATCGATTTATGTTGGATACAAGAAAGGAACTTCAGTAAGTTACAGAGAGAGATGATAGTCAGCCCGGCATAAGAATTCATGCATCCTTTTTTCATCTTTAGAGAGATTAAAATAGGTACATCACAATGGAAACAAGGCAGAGGACTCCACCAGAAAATATAACTTTAAGATACAATAAAAAGTGTACACTATTAAAGAGACCACTCAGCCCAAAGTCACAGGTGCACAGTGAGATTGTCAGGGCCTGAGAGTCGGTGCTCCTGGACTCCTGATAATAGGCTGCAGCTCATATTTATGGGGAAATTCAATCAACACCAATAGCCTGAAGAGGCCATAAAAGAAAATCAAAGTGATCTTCTGTGAACCATATCATTTTTTTATGTTTAAACTGTTGATGTGAGCCGCACAAATTCACTCTTTGTGGAATTTGATCAAACCTTTTGTCATTCATTTTATTCTGATTACACTCAAATCGTATTCAGACATATAATCATATACATACACATTGTACACACATATGATATATGACATACACATTTTACATTTCGCCATTGTGAGACTAAAAACATGTATCTTGTCTTATCTTTATAGGTCAAAAGGACAAAATCTAAACGGGCCAATTAAGATTTTGACATTGAAGAGCTGGTATTTTGGGGACAAGGATGTTGTTCGAACAATCCAATTGTGATTTAATCTATTTTGGAAGTTATCCTGTCAACATTATATCCTTGTTATGCATGTTAATCAATCATATTTTTGGGTTATTGAGGACACAAAGCAGTGACTAGATGAAAAACAACTTGAGAAAATGTTGAATATTTGAATCAATGTTAAACAAAAAATGTATCTTTGACATGTCGTATGTTCTGTTCTGTCCATTTGAGCATAAACTCTGGAAACAACAAATCGGGCTTGTTTTCTTTGTGGAAATGTGTTCAATAAGTATTCACAGTGAAGGACACAAGATGGATGTAGAGAATGTGAGAACAGTGTTTGTCTGAAGAAGAGGATAATAGTGCAAAATAATGGTGTGGAGATGGATGTACAGGGACATCCACACAGACAGAGGAGGAGGCATCACCGCACTGGGGCTGTATCCGAATGTCCACACTATACCCTATATAGTGCACTATATAGTGGTCACGCCATTTTGTAGGGGTGTCCGAATGTCCAGAGAGAAAAAGTAGTGCACTGGAATTTTCCCACAATGCATCTCGAAAATGTAGTGAGCAGCGATGGTCACTAGACGGAAGTAAAATGGCGGAGGCAGCGAGAGACGTGTTGGAACAGGAGCGGGACATGAGCTATAAATGTGAGTTTTTTGTAAAAACATTGTATACATGTATATTAGACAAATATTGATATTTTAATATACTTTTATTTATATATAAAATTATATTGATCCAATGACATGTGACAGGGGTGTGATGTGGGCCGCGGCTAAAAATAGTGTGCATGTGTCCGAATGGCCAACAGAATGAGTGCACTGACTCACTCACTCAGTCGCTATATAGTCCCGAACTATATAGTGACTGAGTGAATAGGGTATAGTGTGGACATTCGGATACAGCCTGGGAAAAGACTTATGAGAATCTTACAAACAATTGAATGCTGCATCTTGAATCTAACTTTGTAATCAGGGTCATGTCCACATCTAAAATCATCATATCAGATAATCTGAATCTGTTATTGGGATTTGAAAGTATATGTTGTCTGAAAGTCTGTGTACACAAAAGGCCTCAGACTTCTGTTATCCAAAAAATAATCCACACTTTCAGGTTTATTTATCCAGCGTTTGTGTGGATGAGCACCCCTTAACAAAGGAGGAAATCGATGTAAGATGTGCATAGAACATTGAACCCACAGTTTAGCTCCTGGATTGATAAATACACCCTTCTGAATCGAAGTCTGTGATCTGGAGACATGAACACTGTGATCTACCTCTGTAAAAGCTGGGGCCTCGTCTGTGAACATGGAAGAGAAGCAGCAGGAGACAGAGCCCATGTCTGCTTACTAATCGCGACTGTTTCTGTGCAAGTATGTGCCCAGTGCAAATAAATGTAATACAGTAGTACTTCTGTTTCTGTAATACACACATAGTACTGATATACACTAAAGTGAATGCACACTCACTCCCCTTGTGCATTTGCATTCTGCAATCAATCACATTTTTAAAAGCAATCACACATCCACAAATCAGCACACTATTTTTGGAACTACTGAATCAGTCAAACTGTCACAGAAAATGGACCGGCTGTTGAAATAATCAGACCCTTTGTACTTCGGTATGTTTCTTTCGACTCAAATTTACATCACAAACAAAGAATAAAGATTTAAAGATTTAAGAAGAGTCGAAGCAAAGGTTCTGCTATATATTTTTAGACATTTGAAATATATAAGACCCTATTTTCATGCTCTTTTGATAGAAAAACATTTCAAGAGGCCAAGATTTTTAAACAAACGTCTAAGTTTTAAAGACAAACAAAAACAATGCTCAAGGCATTTTCTGTCATTAATATTTAGTTTTATTTTCTGAGAACAACTTATGTGCATGCAACTGTTTCAATGCAAAACTTTGTCTGATATTCTAGACCTGGAGAAACATGATAGGATAACTATGACTTGTAAACCATGTTAGCACATACGGAACATTTGTTTGTGCTTAAGTTGAACAATTAGGCGCAGCAGAAAAGGACACATTAATTTGCCCTTGACGTAGTTTAGTTTAAGGATCATTCTGGTATTTTACATATAATATTTGTCACATGAACTTGCATAGTAATAGTAGTCGTGAACAAGAATGCTGACATTTTACAAAAAGACAGACTCCTGAATTTGTTTTGGTTGTTTTGTTTGACAGTATTACAACTCAATACTAGTAAGTAATCTTTGTTTATATCCCACATTTCACAGATCAAGGTCACACAAAGCACTTAACAATTATTATGCCACATGAATGCATACAGCTTTGACATGTGTATAAAAGAGTAGTCTTAAACAGCCTGGTTTAACTAAGTCTGATGCATTATAAAAGACAATAAAATGACTTTAAACAAAACGTGACAAGACCGTCAGTAGAAGCAGCGTTCCTGGGTGTGTATGCTCGTCCTTACCGCCACTGTCCCGGACGCTGAAGTTGAGGGCAGCTCTGGACTCTGGAGGGATGCTAAAATACACCGTACTGTCATTCCCTCCTTCATCTCGATCGATCGCCCGCAACACCTGCACCACCTGAAGCGCACAGGCCGAGACCAGAGACGAGAGCAGGAAATCAAAGCCTGAATAGAACACTTATACACAGAATGCTTTTAGCAACAACCATTAGCAAACGTCAGCAGGACTCAAAACAAGACCGACAATTAGCCACAAATGCACGGAATAAATAAAGTCAGATGCGCTTTTCCTTTCACAAATGCGAACGCCGCAGTGTGGGTTTCATATTAGCAGAGGCAGAAAGAGAACAGAATTACTCTAAAAATCTTCATAAGCTCATAAGCTGATGGGTAATTTCATCATAATGAAAAATGGTGATCATTACTATGCAAGGCGTTCTTTTCAGAGGCGCTTTGGAGACCCAGTATGAATGTGCAAATGAGGAGTTAGTCAGCTATGTTGCGTTGTGTTGTTCAAATATGTTTCGGCAAATGACATGCCATACTAAGATGACATTCAGAGATATGCACATTTGTATTTGCTCGGTAAACGTGCGAAAGAATACCCATCACAAAGGGACAAATCAACAAAACCACATCCTCGGTCGAGACAAAGACACTGAGTGAGCAATGAAAAAACAGCAAAAACAGCAGATGGGTCCAAATGGTGTTGATGTTGCCTACGCGGATGATGGAGCAGGAAGGGAGAGGCAAAGAAGCAACTGGGATTTTTTCATTTAAATAATTGTGATAGCATCAAGTAAGAGAACGACGTCTATAAAGCCAAGAATACAAATAAAGATGGCAGAACGCACAGAGAGGGAGACTTTGAGTGCGAGGCGGAAAGAGAGCGAAGAGGAGGCTACACTTTAATTACGATGTGAATTCTGTGGCACTCAGATAACAGCCCGTGGAGGATTCACCTGCCTCTGTGCTAAATGAGCACTCGGGAACGCATGCTGATATCTGCTGTATGTGAATAGCTTTGTGGTATTTACTCTAAGGGGATATAGAGGCCGCAATTCAACTGTGGGAAATACGCTGCATGTAAATATACAGGTGGACGATGAAGCTACGGGAGGGTCCACCACCTGTTCCAGAGTTATTTCTATATTGATGATAGCCCCAGGGGAACTTACAGGTCAGATCTGTCTCCAGACACCGCAAAAACATACGCTCAATGTTTTTATTACTTAACTCAAAAGAAGAAACAAATGTGTTGTTACAAATATCTTGCTCCACTCAAAATTATATTTTGGAATTCAAGTATCTACTGCATGTAATGAAAAGGCGTGGCGGAACATTCAGTATTTTAACATACACTTTATAGGAAACAAGGTCGACCCCCTAAAGAAGACATTTCTTGGCTTGATTTCCTTAAACTCCTTATAATCTGGTTTTGTTTGAGTTTCAATTACTATTTTTGTTCTCTTGGGTAGTTAAATCATTTACCTGCAGATACTGCTGTCTGCTTCTATTTTTGCAAGATGAGTACTTTGGAGGAAAACAGGGCTAAGGAAGGCCCATACAGAAAATTACCTTTCGTTCTTATACAGTATAGAGTGTTGAGGGGCGACAGTAGCTCAGTTGGTAGAGCATTGGCCGTAAGGCCAGAAGGTCGTGGGTTCAATTCCCACATCTGCACCTTCTCCATCGACTCCCACTGATGACTGCTGTCGTTGTGTCCTTGGGCAAGACACTTAACCCCACTTTGCCCAAAAGCCCCCACTGAAAGATCAAGGCTATGCTCACACTCAGAGAGCAGCCGTCCTCCTGTGGACTCACCACCTGCAGAGGATCAGTGAGGGGCTGGTGCTATGAGACTTGGGTGGCATCTCTGACTGCCACCCCCCTGACCCAGAAATGGATTAAAGGGTAGAAAATGGATGGATGGATGGATGGATGGAGTGTTGTTGCCTTACAAATGGAAATGATTAAGCAATTGAGTGGTGACTAACTTTACTTATATTATCAGGCTGGCAAAGCAGCATAAATGTGTATATTTGAAGACTCACGCATGAAAAAATGAAATGAAAAGATGCAAAATAAACAATAAAATATACAAATATTGATTTTATTTTACTTTCATGAAATGGCTGCATACACATATTTAAAAAATACATTATGTCTTACAACTTTACGGGGGGCACTGGACAACACAATGATTTTTTAAGACTCACCTGTCCCATCTTGGAGGAGTCACACATGGCTGTGGTGTACTGCCGGTCAAGTTCAGGTGCATTGTCATTCAGATCTAAGGTCTCTATGGCAACAAGGACCCGGGACACCTGGCTGGGATTGTCTAAAACAGATTGACAATTTACAGTCAAAAACATGAATCATCATCACTGCAATGGGGAAATAAAGCACATGGACACACTGCTGGACTCCGAGAGCACTCCACTCCATAATATCAACTCGATTGTTCTCCAGAGAGAGATCAAGCTTCTCCTGCCATCCAGAAACATTTGAGAACTCACACGAGTGTAAATGCACAGCAGCGAGTGTGGAGCCATTTGGCTCCCAGCTGAAGTGTTAATGCTTCTGTTGCTGTCAGTTTTTTGTCCAAATCAAACTGTTGTATTCCCAGCCAAAGGCTCAATACAGTTCAAGTATGCTTCTAAGGCAATGGAATGGAGTCAGTCTGCATGGAGCTTCACCAAGGCACTAAATGGATTGGCAAAGGGTCTCATGTACACCACTGAGCCGGATACACACTCTCACACATGGAGTTCTCCCAGTTGTAGTTGAAATGCATACAGCTCAACATCCAGTATTACATTCAGCAAGGCACAATCCAGACTCAACAGTAAAAGTCTCCCAATTACAATTACATGATGATCTTTAACCAAGTGGCTATTCTGAAAGTCTGTCTCCAAGAGTCTGGACAGAAAGAGGAATGAATGTATGATACATTATAATGATGACTCAAAATGGAGATCTATGGGGATTTTGATCTAAGGGAATTTTATTTCCTGAACCAGAAAGCTCCACCCACTTCGCAGCTCCATAGCAGGCTCTGGGTCTTGGACCCTCTCGTGATTGAAGTGGTATATTGTTTGATCTCATTGTGAGGTGCTACCTCAGAGTGTTAGGCATTATCAAGACTAATACTTGTTTGTAAAGTATCCATCTTTTTGTATCAGATGACAAAACATTGAGAATAGGTGTGATGTCCAGTCTGTTTCTTAAATACTTTGAAGTAGCAGTCTTGAGTACAACCTTTTGGCGACTGGACACACTCTGGATACCTTTAAACACGAGCCACACTTTGCTCTCTCACAGCCACACTGTAGTCGCACACAGGGTGACATCACCTTGGTCCCACAGTGAACAAGCTGAAAATGAGCTGCGGCTAATGCTATGCCACGGGTGAGCAGGCCTGCCCATGGCCATGGCAGCTCTCCTACTGAGCTTTATGTCAACACTGCTGCAGACAGTCAGTGTTTATTTGAGGGCGCTCATTATTCAAGACAGCAGCCTCCACATAGTCCGACCTGCCGCCAACCAGGAGCTCGCACTGGATTTTATCTAAAGATTAACTTGCAGGACACTGGACTTGGCAGGCGAACAACTTTTCTCCTCTTCACACAGTTTTATGTGAAGTAGTATGACAGTATTCTATGCCATGATATTTTTGACAGGAGATAGTGACGAGGAAGACTTTGAGAAATAATGTACTTCCTGTATAATTTGCACTGTCCTTTTCCCCTCTGGTTGTTGTACAAATGCAAGCATCTCACGACCTACAATTACAATTCTGAAAGTGATATACAGATGTAAGGATGCATGTATGGTTAGATGAATGAATAGCTTTTATTTACAGATAATCTGAAACAGAAGGGCTCACTCAGGCCAGGGGGGAGTTGGTTCTACTGAGAGAAATCCAAGAGACATACTCATAGAACAAAAAATTAACTGTTCGAGTTTTCCCCTGAAAACAACAGCCCTGTGCTTTCTTAATTTACACATTATCAAACCGTATCTAGTTGTTCATGTGTGGGAAAGAGTTGTTGTGATAAAAGCTCGGAAGTAGATTTAATCCTTTCTGTTCATTCCAAATATGCTCATTTAACTGCACACACATCTTAACAAACATTTTCTCCAGCGATGAAACCACCTAATTTGCCTGGAACACATTTAAAACAGGAAGGGTACAACAGTTTGCATGTATTCCTCGCGGAGTATTAAGTGCAGTCTGACAGCGGAGGTCACTAATGTGGGTCAAATGTAGCTTCATTAGGGTGATGGTCTAATGTATTGTCAAAACAGCAGCATAATTAGCCATCACGTGTGTATTGCTGTAGTCTACTTTTAATAGACTGTAGACACAGCAATAGTGAAAACATCTTTTTGAAAAATAACCATTGAGAAATAGAGCAGCTTTTGAGATAACGGGATTAGTCCTTTTTGTAACACAAACAGCAGGGAGGCACACAATACACTGGATATTATTTCACACCGTTGTAACATTCAAAGCTAATTGAAATGGATAGATTGATAAAAAATCCAATCCAATCCAATCCACTTTATTTATATAGCACATTTCATAAACACGCAGTTTCCAAAGTGCTGTACAACATGCAAAAATGGCAACAAATAAATAAATACACACATTTAGATTTAAAAAAGGACCACACGACTTACGCAGTGTTAAAAGACAGAGAATAAAAGTGGGTCTTAAAGGAATAGTTCACCGTTTTTACATACTGACATATGTTCTTACCTTACCTTAGACTAGTTAATACGTACCTGTCTGGTCTTAGTCCGTGTGCTCTGTCATGCAAATGGAGCAAAAACGGGAGCACAACCGCAGCCTCCTCTGTATATTTTGTAGCACCAAAAGGTAGCTCCCGCTAGAAGCTACCAAACTCTTCCAAGTGTTCCCTATTAAATGTATATAGTTACGTGACGTGTTACACTGCAAAGTATAGTAACACAGAAATGTAACAGTCGATTTTCTCAGCGGATAAAACGGGTACTATATTGTGAGGCGTAGTAATCTGAGGGGCGCTACGTCCGCGCACTAACTTCTCTCCGGAGACTTCTCTCTCGCTCACTTCCGTCAATAGAAGCAGCGTGACTTGTAATACACACAGTAGCAGCGAGAGAGAAGTCTCCGGAGAGAAGTTAGTGCGCAGAGAAGTTAAGAGCGCTACGTCCGCGCACTAACTTCTCTCCGTACTACAAGTCACGCTGCTTCTATTGACGGAAGTGAGCGAGAGAGAAGTCTCCGGAGAGAAGTTAGTGCGCGGACGTAGCGCCCCTCAGATTACTACGCCTCACAATATAGTACCCGTTTTATCCGCTGAGAAAATCGACTGTTACATTTCTGTGTTACTATACTTTGCAGTGTAACACGTCACGTAACTATATACATTTAATAGGGAACACTTGGAAGAGTTTGGTAGCTTCTAGCGGGAGCTACCTTTTGGTGCTACAAAATATACAGAGGAGGCTGCGGTTGTGCTCCCGTTTTTGCTCCGTTTGCATGACAGAGCGCACGGACTAAGACCAGACAGGTACGTATTAACTAGTCTAAGGTAAGGTAAGAACATTTGTCAGTATTTAAAAACGGTGAACTATTCCTTTAAGACGAGACATAAAACATTCCAACGAGGGAGCTGTTTTGACATGAGGGTGCAGGGCGTTCCACAGCTTTGGTCCAGCCACAGAGAAGGCCCTGTCTCCCCGGGTTTTAAGTCTCGTCTTAGGTACCACGAGCTGGAGCTGGCCCTCGGACCTCAGCGAGGGCGGTTGGTAAATCTGGATGAGGTCCGAGATGTAAGGAGGGGCCAGTCCATTCAGAGCTTTAAAAACAAACAATAAGATCTTAAAATCAATTCTAAAAATAAATCAAGCTGCTATGAGGCATTATATGGCTGTAGTACAATTCTGTAATGATAATGACTTTCAAGTAAAGCCACATTTAACATCTGAACTTTGTGAAGCGCTTTGGGTGACCTTGGTCTGTAAAAATGCGCTACATAAATAAATAAAGATTACTTACATTTAGAAGAAGAAAGGGTTAATATAGTTCTGTCAATAATCAATATTGTTGTTGTGTATTATATTATATAGTATATTGTGTATTATATTGTGTAGTATGTAATGGCAGAAATTACTCATGAAAACAAGATAAAATATTGCTACAGCCGGTACTTCTCTAAAGGAGACATCTACATTAATTTTGGAAATTAAAATAGTAACTGCCCTTTACTTTGTACAGCTGTAAGCTCAAACTTGTTCCACTTTTCTGTGGAACTGTCAAATGTTTTGGAAGTGCTGAATTGCAAAAAAAATGACATTCTGCACTGTGGGACTATGAACTTTTGTGAAGAAAATTGTATAATATGTTTAACGTGCACCCTACTTCTCCCCACAAATAGAAATACAACACATCTTATGTGAACTTGCAAACAAAGGCAGAACTTTCTTTTATAAGTCTATGTACACTGTTTTATATTCACAGGGGATTTGTAAAACTATCTTCGATTTGCAGCTTGAATACTTTGTTTCCGCTTGAACCCTCCCCCTGAAAACAGATCCATCCTCTCATCAGATTACTCAGACGTTGTAGATCAATTGATTCCTGGGAACACTGTAACAAACCAACCAACAGCTCGGTCTCATGGCCCACTGGCTGCAGTGCTTAAGCCGCTTAAAGCTTTTTCTAATGCACCACAATATACAGTTTAAACCTCTTATGTCTCATGTGGGTGTGGGCCACTACAAAATGTCACCCTTTTGTCAAATAATAGTGTCAAGTGGAGACCGCTGACCTCTCTGGGTGGCGATGACTGTGATGTTGTGCCAGTGCTCGCGTTCCCGATCCAATTCCACCGCCGTAGTGATCAAGCCTGTGTCCGGAGTGATACGGAAAACTGCCTCCGAGTCTGACTGAGGATCAATGGAGAACCTAAAGAGTGCGAGACACAGATATTGAAATAATAAGTAGAGAGGAAAGTAAATAAGAAGAAGCCTGCAGAGTTGGCAAATGGGAGTGGAGTAAAGAAGGCAGCGAGGGCAAGTGTGTTAAGAAGTGATAAGCACATTGAATTCATATTCAAATGACCAAAGAATTAATATAGCAAGATTATCAGCAGAGATATGATCTCCTTTTGAAGTGCTGCTGATTATCAGTATATCCTCATAACAGTAGTGACTATCATTTCCAACCACACAAGCACTCCGAGCACTTTTAGAGTTAATGGGGTAATATTTCCTCTGTGACAAAGTGCATCCCCTCTCAAATGCACCTCACAACTCAATACATCATAGCTCCTGATTGTGAAGGTGAAGGTTCCCCCTGGAGAAAAGTAAAACTAAGCCAATGGAACTCCTGCCACCGTAAGGTGAAGAAGAAACTTCCAGTTTGTTCTGCTGAAATGATAATAAAGGACGCCTGATTGTTCCTGTGCTCACTGTCCTGAACAGCACTGCCATATTCACACCTTGTCATGGTCGACAGACCACACAGTTCCGGGTCAATGATAAGGAAGGAAAGGAATTTCCTTGATGCATTTAACATTTTAGGAAGGAGAGCTTTACTTGGACACTCCAAGTTTTTATTTGAAAACTTCAAACACATGTTTTCTCTTTGATGTACTTATTTTAGGATATCCTTGTCACTACCAAAGAGTAGTTTGTGTCGGCTCTGCCTCTTCCCCCATCATCCAAAAAAGAGAGAATAGGAGGGACAGAACGAAAAAAAGTAATTTGTACCTGATATTGTTGGTCAGTCCAGTGTCGGGGTCTATGGCGCTCACTCTGCCCACAGTGCAGGCGGGGGGGCAGTTCTCAGACACGTCCATCAGATATCTGGACCTGGAGAACTTTGGGGGCTCGTCTGCGTCCAGCACTGCCACACGCACTGTGGCCCGGTCCTTGAAGGCACCCAGACGCAGAAACCGAGGGTCCACAAAGGGGTTCATGACCTCCACTGAGAAAGAGTATGAGCTGCGGCTCTCGTAGTCCACAGGCTGCAGAGAGAAACAGACAGAAACTCAAATTCTGGACTTTTGAATGTGAATATGAACTGTACAAATTCCTTAACTGGAAAATTGACTAAACTCTATGGAACCATATAAAAGTGTGTAAATATTATATCTAAAAAATACATACAAGGTTCAACATTAATCTATCTATCTAAAAAAAAAAAAAAAAACAAGTGTACATTTCTCCTATGTGAGATAAATAAAGCAAATCTTATCTTATCTTGAATCTTGAATGAGCTCGTTTGTAACTTCTGGCCAAACAAACTCAACAGAAGAGAATTGAACATTACTGAAAAGATAATTATATCCATATAATGGTAAAAAATGACAAGTCATTTTATTATGGCTATTTAGTTGCAACCTCAGATAAATGTTGACATTTAGTTTCAAACATAGACTGAAGGATATACAAAAATGGACAACTCAAAAACATGGAAGTAGCAAGAGGCAAGAAAAATGCAAATGTACGACTTAGCTTGATATCTAATGATGTTTTGTGCTTTGGACCTGTTCCCATACTAATGACTGATAGATTAGATATCAAAGACAGCAGCTAAATTATGAACGACTTCCATCAAAAAATATTCCCACAGTCAGGAAGTGGCCACATTCATAATAAGCACGGTTTTCCTCCACAGTGCGCTCAGGGGAATATGGTGAGGAAGACTTTGAGGGGCACTGAGGCAGGCATGACGCTATGGAATGGGGTTTTTGTGAAGTGCGGATAAGACATTCATGAGGTGTTGATGTTGCCGCAAACCCAAAGAAATTCTTGATACTCGCCAAGTTGAAAGGATTGTGAAAGAAGAAGCCACATGTTTGAATATTGCTTTGACACAGCACATACTTGAAGTCCCCGACAACACGTTACAAGGCAGGGATGCACTGCCGCATGTCGTTGCTTTGGTGCAAGCTCATGTAAGATGTGTTGTACTGTGTGGATGCAGTGGTGCTCTATTGAAGTAATGCCCAGTTACTACAGAGAAAGAAACATACAATACCACATTCCTGAAATGTTGTGATTGGAATAGTATTTTAGGTTGTTGAAGTTGTTATGATGAAGTATGGTTTTGTGAGTTTAAGGAACAGAGCAGTATGGGAAAATATGTGTACACTTCACACGCCACATCACTAACAGAGTTCTGTTGACAACCTGTGGTCCTTCACAAATCAGAAACCTTTTCAGATAATTTTCTCTCTCTCTCTCTCTCTCTCTCTCATAACTGTCACATTTTGAGAATTTCCAAAGCCAGTTTCTGGTGAGTGGTTCTCTGACATAAGCGGTGCGGCCTGTGGGAGTCAGGGCGGCTCATTGGTATCCAGCTGATGCAGCTTAAAGAGGATCTGGAGCGGTGCAGCCCACCGCACATGTGTCTCCGTGCAAAATCAGAACACCACTCACCGTTTGGAGCTGCGCTCTAGGCACATGACTGTGGAGGAGTATGTGTGCATTAGGAGAAGCATTTCAACGTTCCATGAAGCAGGACTGGTATTCTCCTATCCATGCTGGGAGTAATAAGCCATGTGTCCAAATGCCAACACTGCATTTGCATAATCAAGTTTTTGTATACAGTATTGAAAACAAAAGTGAGGTATCATTTGTCTTGGTGGGGTAATGTAATGTTTAGCTATCACCATGGAGATTAAAACTCATCTGTGCATATGCTTGAGAGAAGGCAGGCAGATTTAATAAGGAAGAGTGTTTGGGCCCAGGTGATAGCTCATAAGTGTGGTGTTAAAAGCCATTTATACTTCTCCATCATGGGGTCGGAGGTACAATGCTACAGTATTTCCCCCCTGATCCCAGCACTGCCAGATGTGAGGAGCAATAAACATGTTCTTCTGAAGCACAGGGGCTGTCTGCACTCACTCACATTTAAAATTTTGCTTTAAATGAGGATTTTTATTTGACAAACTGGTATTCAGACACGCTTGTCTCTGGAAGAGGCAGAAAGGAGAGAGTGGACCTTGGGTCTTTGCTGCCCCACTCCCTGAATGTTTGTAGAGAACCGATCTCCAATCTTGCCGTCTCCTTCACCCTTTGATGGAGTGACGGACAGTAAAAAATTGTTCAGACGGAAAGGACGCAGAGGCTGTCAGCCCTCGCCGGCTAAACAGAGGGATCTGAATCTCTGTATAAGCAGCACTTTATGAGCTTCACTGAACAGAGGGCCATAATAAAACATCTCAAAACTTTTTACACGCTGTGGCATGTTCCATAAACTCGAGTTAATTTAGAAATAAAATTTTGTGTCTAGTTTGAAACTGCTTTTGTGCTGGGAGCACAGCAAAGTGGTTCCTTTGAGTCTACAGCGTTAGATGTTCAGTGTGTCCTTAAAGTAAGCATGACTGACAGAGTGAAGCATGTTGGAGTGACGATAAATAGGATCCCTGGCTATGGCAAGAATCGTCTGTCAGATTCAAACACAGGAAAATCATTCCGAGGATCCCAGCAGCAGTGGGAATATTGATATCCTTTTGCATTGCGTTTTCTGCTTCTTCTTTTTTATCTCTCCTTCCTCCATCTCCTTCCCTTGCAGCAGTAAACTGCTTTTACAGAAAATCAGCAGTTTTAGAAAAGCTGAAGCTTGATTAAAGATCATGCCAAGAAAAAGTGAATTGAGATACACAGGCAATGCTTCCAGTTGGGGGAATATTTTGTTAAGAAATAAGTAAGCAGTATCTATGTAGAGGAGCCATGTGTGGGGTGTGCAGTATGGATGAGGTGAGCTCTAACACAGTGGCCATTACAGACTGAGAGAGGAGGAGACCTGCCATCTCCACTGGCAACACCCACTCATCACAGCAGTGACACCCATGCACAGTCCATCAATGAGGGACAGCCACGACCACAAGCATGTGTAACTGCAGCCTTTGGCAAACGTAAACACTTCCCTCTCTGTCACACAGCCGCCATTTCCCCAGTAATTTAATGGTTTTCAATGTTTTACAGCGACATCAAATATACAAGTGCTGTTGACACAAAATCAATGTTTATAGCATCTAGCAATTCATTTTCCATCTCTTATTTGGGTCATTGGCATCGCGCAGGTGAACCATGTCATATATCTATTCCACCTTAATAAAAAACATAACAAGAAAACAAGTCTTTCTGTTTAATCAATCAAAAGAGTCAATGTGTTGCTACCAATGCTAATGTTCACATGCATTATTACTACCGCAGACCGCACATATTGGCCTAACTTTTACACTAACATATATGCATCTACCTATTTAACTGTTTGTAGAGGAGCGCACACTTTTGTCAGATTTAGGTATAGCATGAACTACAAAAATAAATAAATCAAGTGAACAAGTCCCATGTAAGGCGCAATATATATTTCTTTCTAATTCTTGCATGAAAATTATCTAAACGAGACATCTTTGCTTGTTGAAAGTCAAAAAAGGTATATACTGTAGGAGGATTTTCCCAAATCATAATACAGAACCGCCTTTTCCACTTATTGAACAAAAATCCCTGGTCTTATTTGACGAACACGTTTCACCCGAATGATTGACAATTGGGAGGATCAATAGTCTTGATGACTATTCGTGGCTTTCGTGGTAAATGATAACAAGATTGGGACATAAAAAATTGCCTCAATCAAGTCAAGATCACAAAACAATTCAATGTATTTTTGCATGTTGAAGTACTTTACAAAATTGTCAATTCACAAACAACAGATTAGAGGATCAAAAAATTAGAACACAAGAAATGCATGAGAGCCATTGGTCAATAGGAGTGTGACAATATATCGATTTTTCGATATATCGCATTAATTTCTCCCGCGATCGATTATTGATATGCATTTGCCAAGTATCGATTATTTTTTTCATTTTTTTTTTCACTTAACATATTTCTATTTTATGTATGCCATATATTGGCATATGGTATATTGCTGACCAATATATGGATAATCGTCATATCGTGATATAATCGTTATCGTGATATAATCGTTATCGTGAGCTTTGTATCGTGTATCATATTGTATCGTGAGGTACCCTTAGGTTCCCACCCCTATTGGTCAAGCAATGGTTGCATGTCCAAAAATGTCCAAACAGGTTCACATATTTGATGATTACAACCACAGCCAAAAACACTGATGCCAACATCACCAGAGCAGACAAGTAAATCTCCCTATCAGTTCGGTCTAAACTGCCCCTACCTCCACGTGTCCTTGTGGTCCTGGCTGTAGTCAAGACATCAGCCTTTCTCTCTTTCTCTACTCCTTTCCCCTCTCTCTTTTTCCACTCGTTCACTCTGTCTGTCCCCTCCGAGCAGATTAGCGCAATCTCTCCTCCGTGTGAGAAAACAAACACAGATAATCCCGAGCGCGCTGCTGGCGTGTGACCGAGGATTAGCCGAGCGTTTTAAGTGAGAGCATATGGAAATAATAACGGCAAAAAAACTGACACATGCGCATGCTAGCTGTCCCGCAGGTAAGAGGGGAAAATGAAAGCAGAGCAAATAGGAAGCTTACACTGCTCTCGGCATTCAGAGAAAACATCCCAAAACCTGATTTGTATTAATGATGTTATGACATGCCTGCTGTTGCGTTTAGTGATCCTATTTTCTATTATACGCAATTTTAGACGCGCAGCACCTTTGTAATGGGCTGTTGTCGTTTAGGAGGGTTTTCGAGGAGATGAATGAAGTACTGTCTTTAGAGTAATCATCCTTCTAATGCTGAATTAATACTAATACTGACAAGCCAAAGGGCAGAGGGAGGAGAGCATGACTCTCTTGTCAGAGATTATGTCTGGAGACATTTGTTGTTATTTATTTTAAAATTCACTCTAAACCAGAGGTGGGCAAACCCCGGCCCATGGACCAGATGTTTCTATGAGCCATTTGAACCCTCTTAAGTTTATATAGATTTTGTATAAAGACTATAAAATCCTTTCGTGCAGCAGGCAGAGCTCTGGAGCCGCACTCGCACTCCTTGCTCTCCCGCATTATTTCATATAATATTTATTGTATTACACATAATAATGTATTTTTGTTTAAAACATTTACGCTGAGAAAAACATTGGAAGTCAGGTCCAGAGCCCGCCAGCTTGCTGATTTTCCAATGTGGCCATCAGGAGGAAAAGTTTGCCTATTCCCGATCCTAATTTAAGAAAAATCTTGCGGATTATGTTAGAGTTTGTAAAGCTTAAAGAGAGAATCCAACCAAAAACAAACTGGAGATCTTTTAACCAACCCTGCTCCAAACCAAACTGGAGCCTGCTCTCCGCCTCCAGAAGCGTGTAGATCATGTACACATTCAGCCTCTGTTTTTAAAGCCCGGAGTATTGACTTTTCAGTGCATCATCTCCAAATACTGTGGGTCATTTATGTTTACAATTACATTCAAAATGAACTCCCTCAACATATAATAATCTTAATGTGTCTATTAAACCAAGTCGGAGTGGACATAATCCTGCTACAGCCCATACTTTCTATAAATCTATACTGTAATTTAAAATGTGCAATTTTTATCTTAAATTGTAGTCAGTAGACAAAATGTATTCTGCACACAATGTAAGATTATACTGCAGTAGACAAAGCATCTTTTACTGCCCCCAATGTGCACAACTGAAAGACCTCAAACAAACCAGTAGGGATTTATAATCATTGTTAGAATAAAACAAACCGTGAGCCAAATGAAAGACCATGAGCTTTGTCTCAGACCTTTACTCTGTGAACAAACTTCATGTGGCTTTTAAACTAACGTACTGTAATAAGATTTTATATATATTTACATTTCCAGGAACATTCAATATTCATTCCATAAAAGTGTTTATTTATATATCTTTGGCTCATGAGAGTTGAAAATAAAACACACAAATAACCTATAATAATAATAATAATAATAACAATAATAACAATAATAATAAAACATGCAGAGAACATGGTAGTGTCCAATGTGCATTAATCCCGTGATCTTGTGTTCAGAGAGATTTCTGGTTAAATAAACATGTTTGATTATCCAACAATTTTTGGATAGTTTAAATACAGTGTTGCTCTCTTCTACGGACAGAGAAGTTATAAGTTTAAGTATAGTTATAAGTATAAGCGTTTCGAGCCCACCGCCTGATAATAATAATAATAATATCCGGCATGTAAATAATATTAACTGTTCAGGCAAAATAAATTGTTGCCTGAAAATTGTATTTTCTGAAGCCCAATAGAATACAGGATGCATTTCTGTAACGCAATGCAATAGCGTAAACACAATTCTAACACAATTTTAAAGGTACATTTTGGATCAAACCAAAACCCTAGGTACATGAAGGAGAAGACTTTCAATCAATGGAGTAGAGATTCAGATCTTGCGTATCACATTCATTTGGTTTCATTTGTATTTAGCAATATTTCAAAGAAAATGTAAAGGAATGTTGGACTTCATTAAAATGATCTGCAGTGGAAGCACTTAAATACAACACTGCGTCATCTGCATAGAGATGAAATAAAGTCAAAGGAGAAGAAAAATAGAGATAACGTTGGGGATGATGTAAGTCACTGGAGGTGCATTAAATGGGACACATAAGAATGTGAAGGAAAGACTGAGGCGGCTGATGGTTGTGAGGCTGCAGTGGAGCAGAAGATGAAGAGGGTGAGGAGTGGAAGAGAAAGTGCTAGGGTGATGGAAGTATAACCAAAGTCAAACCAATTAAATCCTTTACAATAAACTTGGAAATTGATTCATAGTCAATATTAGTTCCTATTGTTAACATAGTTTTCTTGAGAATATATTTTACTAAAGTATTTCAACAACATCCATATCTTCATACCCTTGATCTGAGCCTGACATGAATCTTTGGAACCAAAACAACAACGGCGGTTAATGATCTGAAAAACAACAAATCTAGAAATTGGAAAGCCCTATCTTTGGTATTTTACGTTATCTTACTTTGGATGTTCAAAGCTTAACGCTTACATAACTGCTTCAGACGTGGAGAGCCGTGGAGAGAAAAGCAAAAACAAAACCATTTACACTCACCGGCCACTTTATTAGGTACACCTTGCTAGAAGCGGGTTGGACTGCTCAAACCATTCTGGCCATTCTCTGACCTCTGGCATCAACAAGGCATTTTCGCCCACCGAACTAGGCCCTAATAAGACAAAGGACTTACCCATAAGTACTAGTGATACCAGTAATTATATAGTATACCATGTACTTACCAGCAAGTACCTGGTACTTTCTGGTAAGTACCTGGTACTTGCTGTTAAGTACCTGGTACTTGCTGGTAAGTACCTGGTACTTTCTGGTAAGTACCTGGTACTTGCTGGTAAGTACCTGGTACTTGCTGGTAAGTACCTGGTACTTGCTGGTAAGTACATGGTATACTATATAATTACTGGTATCACTAGTACTTATGGGTAAGTCCGTTGTCTTATTATGGGCCAGTTCCTATGGTAAGTACCTGGTACTTACTGTATAATTACTGGTGTTATCACTGGTACTTATGTTAAAGTCCTTTGTCTTATTATGGGCCAGTCCCTATGGTAAGTACCTGGTACTTGCTGTTAAGTACCTGGTACTTGCTGTTAAGTACCTGGTACTTGCTGGTAAGTACCTGGTACTTGCTGGTAAGTACCTGGTACTTGGCTGGTAAGTACCTGGTAATGTGTAATTCTTGTTACTTGGGTTGGGTACCTAGTTCTTGCAGTGTTTCCCTTGTCCTTGAAACTTGTTTTGAAATATGCATTAAATGTATTTATACTGTCCTTTCTGTGCTACTTATTCCATATTAATAAAGACGTTTGTTTTACATAATGTTGTTTTATGTTTTATAGTCAAACAATCCTACAAATGACCTCTGTATGTATGTATGTAGAAGTACCACATTTACTACATAGGAATAATACTGTAGTGTCCTTGAATTACTAAGTTACAGCTGTATCTAGAATTATCACAATAAGTACCTAGAAGTACCACTGTAAGTACCACAATAAGTACCTCTAAGTACCACTGTAAGTACCTAGAAGTACCACTGTAAGTACCACAATAAGTACCTAGAAGTACCACTAGAAGTACCACTGTAAGTACCTAGAAGTACCTAGAAGTACCACTGTAAGTACCACTGTAAGTACCACTGTAAGTACCACTGTAAGTACCACCGTAAGTACCACCGTAAGTACCACCGTAAGTACCCCTGTAAGTACCACCGTAAGTACCACCGTAAGTACCACCGTAAGTACCACCGTAAGTACCACCGTAAGTACCACCGTAAGTACCACTGTAAGTACCACCGTAAGTACCTAGAAGTACCACTGTAAGTACCTAGAAGTACCACTGTAAGTACCACTGTAAGTACCACTGTAAGTACCACCGTAAGTACCACCGTAAGTACCACCGTAAGTACCCCTGTAAGTACCACCGTAAGTACCACCGTAAGTACCACCGTAAGTACCACCGTAAGTACCACCGTAAGTACCACCGTAAGTACCACCGTAAGTACCACCGTAAGTACCACCGTAAGTACCACCGTAAGTACCACTGTAAGTACCTAGAAGTACCACTGTAAGTACCTAGAAGTACCACTGTAAGTACCATGGACTTACCGGCCCGTAATGTAAAGTGTTACCCATTGAAGCTCTAAAACTCTGTTCCTGTCTCGTCTTCACCATCGACAATAAAACATATCTTCTGTCTGCGATCACAGACCAGTCTGCATCTTGTCTTATTTTCAACAAGGTGTTTACAAGTATGCAGACAGTAAGTAACAAGTACCTTCATCCTCCATCAGCTTGTTGCCAAACCTATAGATTTATCCGTGTTTGATTAGTCAGTATCTGAGCCAACATGGGGGATGGCAGTCAATCTGTGACGTGGCCTTTCTGACAGATGTGATTTAGCTCTGCAACAGCACTCCAGATGAAGCTGCTAATCAGATTGTCGCACCACGCTACAAACATGCTAACTACGTGACGAGACAGGATCAGGATCAAGCTAACGACATCATCAGTCATGGTAATAACACGCCTCACTTTCTCAATGCCCTTCTGCCTCCGCTGCCTTTTTAGAAATGCGGAAAATACATAACGAAAGGGAAGAAAATCCATTTTAGCATTTGCACCTCGATTCTTTGCAGACGTGAGACACATTAATCAGGGTCAAATCGGATCAGTCTAACTTAAAAGGGAAATGAAAATCAAAAGGTTAAAATGGAAATGAGAAAGTAGCATTGTGATGATGTAAACTTGGGATGGTGGACGAAGAGATTGACTTGAATATTGATAAGGTTATGATAATTTGTGGGAAAGGAACTGAATGACAGACAGGTGCGTGGAGGTGGTGTATCTGGGGTGGCTTTGTGCCGGAGGGAGCTTCAGTGTTTGGCATCTGCCGCAACCGCTCTGAATTTTTTATACGAGTGACGCTGCGATACGTCTCGTCCATGTTCCTCCGGGAGTAGCCTTTCATTAACCATCCCTTGACCCGAGCAGCAGAAGCACTGCTCGAGGAAGTCTGCAAGAAATAAAAGTCTAAATTGTTTTGAGAAACACAAAGAAAAAAAAGTGAATACCCAGGAATTTATGGAGGCTTGAAAAATAGGTGTTGTTGGGATGAATCTTGGGTAATGGAGTTTTGATGGATGAGCTGTATCTCGGGGATATAATGGCTCGGATTGGAAATGACCGGACACCTATTGATATCCGACCTTGGGTAACAGCATCTGTGCTTTTTACCTTCAAAGTATTTATTTCTAACCACTTTAGCTGTTTAATACTGATATTACATTTCCGTCTTCATATATGTGCTGCCCTCATGAGACCAAACCACAAAGGATCTTCTGAAATCAAATTCTTCCTATGATCTCCTGCAGCTGAAAAATCCTGGTGGGCCCTGCTTTAAAAGACTGCAATTAGCTGAGGTAAAATGATAATGTTTTCGTCTTTAGCGTCCCATCGGTAAACATTGCCTTTAGGATCAATTAACCAGCGGCTAATGAGCAAAGTGGGGGTCTCGCTTTTCGATATTGCGCTATTGTTCATTGGCCAGTTTTAATTAATGGGTTTGGAAGTAAAAATCGCAAAAGTTTTAATTGTTTTTCCGTTTTGGAGGCGGGCATGTAGATAGAGAGAGGAATGGAGGGAGGGGTGTTGTGAGATCACAGTGTTAATTATAAAGTGGATGAGGATTTAGAGTTTTAATTAAAGAGGAATTTGATGCGACCAACAGAATGAAGTTCATTTGCGTCTCCTATTTCTAAATCTGCCACCTCCTTCATCTGTTTTGGAGCTCGCGCTATTCATCTGCACACTTTGT